GGCCGCTCCTAATGCGCCAATCACGGAGTACACCTTGGTCTACCAAGGAGTTCCAGGAGATGAAACACCAGAAGAGATGCCTTGGAGAAAGACCTGAAGCAAGTTTGATCGAACACAGGTAAGAGCCCATATTTGGGATGATCTCATGGCGATAAGGGCAGCAAAATGTCAATATTTCTCGGCCCTTATTGCATCCACCAATAGCCACACCGTGGCCCTATTTAGGGTGATTGCTCCCTGTTGGGGAGGGACTGGTCCCAGGAACATCTACAGGGCTGCAGTGAGGAACATTCATGCAATTTGGTGGAGACAATTGCTTGAATTCCCTTGGAGCTGGGCAGGTCCAGGTGAGCTACTCGGGCACAGTCTTGTGATGTGATCTGGATTGAGTTTGATTCTGTTATTCCCAATGCAGTGGACAAGATCCTCTGAACTGTGGGTTCAACCACCTGTGTGTTAGATCCAGGCCCCTCCTGGGTTGTCAAGGTGCACTTGTTGTTGACCTTTGATGGATCTGGAATGGGGTGGTGCATTCATCCTTGTAGTTATTGAGCTCTCAGTGTTTTTTAATACCATTGATCACAGTGTCCTTCTAAACTGGGTTTTGGGGTGGGTGGCACCGTACTAGGATGGTTCTCCTTTCTTGGTGACCAATTCCAGTCAGTTGGTTGGGCGGAGAGGTCGCACCCTCAGTCCCTCATCCGTGGGTGCCTCAGGGCTCAATGCTCTCTCCCCTCCTGTTTAACATCTCCGTGAAACTGTTGAGGGAGATCATAGGTCAGATCAGGATCCGGTATCATCAATTTGCTGATGACACCCAGTTGTACATCTTCATCCCATGCTAGCCAAGTTATGTTGTCAATGTCTTGTCCTAGCGCCTGGAGGCTGTGCCGGTCTGGATAGGGAGAAACAGACTCAGGCCTGATCCCAACAAGACCAAGTGGTTGCGGATTTTGCTCGCTCCCCCCAAATTTGGGGACTTTCCATTTTTAGTCTTGGATGGAATTGCCCTTCACTACTTGAGGCTGGTGTGCAATTTAGGGGCCCTCCTGGACTCACAGCTATTGCCCAAGAGCAGGTGGCAGCTGTGGCCAGGAGGACCTTTGCACAGATTCACCTTGTGTGCCACTTCTGCCCTTTTCTCAACCGGGAGGTGCTTCAGATGGCCACTCATGCTCTAGTCACCTCACAGTTGGACTACTGCAATGTGCTGTACACGGGGCTGCCCTTGAGGACCACCTGGAAGCCACGGCTGGTTCAAAATGCAGTGGTGCAGGCAGTAATGGGCACTTCTTGCTACATCCACGTCGTGGCTGCTTTGAGAGCTGCATTGGTTGCTAGTGAGCTTCTGGGTGCAGTGCAAGGTGCTGTCATCGTGTATAAAGCCCTGTGTGGCATAGAGCCTGGTTATTTGAGGGAGCACCTGTTCCCAGTTCCTTCTGCCCGTCTGGTATGTTTGGGCAGAGTGGGTGCGCTCCAGGTCCCTCCAGTTAGTCATCTTGCGGTACCAAGGAAGTGTGCTCTTCTCTCAGGGCACCCGCCCTCTGGAACAGCATCTGCCTGCACATAGATTTGGCTCCCACCCTTCAGATGTTGGGGAAGACTCTTAAGACCTGGCTGCATTCCTAGGATTGGTGTAGGGTGCTTGCAGAGGCCCTGCTGAATCTTTTTCTGAATCTTATTGATGTAGTTTTCGTCAGGCAGCCGCAAAATTCAGTAAGTAAATAAAGTGCGTTCACCTTAATCCTATCGCAGCAGTCTCTTCTGGAAACTCTCCATTTGAGTTCTCCTAGCTGGTCTGCATGCTGACTTGTAAGCACTGCCAGACCATCAGCAATAGCGCACCCCCACCCACCAAAAGCTGGCCTTGAATATGAATGGTGCAGCAAACACAAAGCAGATGGGCTACTCCAACTGCGCACTTTGACCCACCTCCCAGCGGCGCTACCAACACTGGCCCCACAGGGTGCAGCTGTGGGAGGTTGGCTGGGTGCTTCCCCCGGGCGGCTGGAGAATAGTCTAAGCAAGGACTGTTTGCTACTTGCCGGAGCAGGTGTAGAGCGCTCGTTCCTGGCCCGGTTCAGAGGGCCGAGCCCCCTGCTCAAGGTCTGGGCCACAGACCCACCTGCCAGCCCACCAGAGCCATTTCCTCTGGGAACACACTTTGAAAATTAGCTTGGCAGAGCCAGTGGCACACCAGGCTCCAGAAAGGCCCAGGTACGTAGTGATCCAATGATTCAGGTATCAGAGGGCATCTCTCATACGAAAATACACCAACGCTTTATTTGGCATTCCCTTTTTCCTATGGCGTTTCATACCCCTCCTGGATCTTGGAAATGGGATATGCAGTTTTTTTAAAAAACCAACCAAATCACATATCGCATTCTTAATGAGAAAAACCACTTGCACAGATGAAGGAGCTCTGCCTTCTTTGCCACTCCCCACCCCTCCCCTTGGATCACAGAAAAGGCTGAGAACCACCATAGTCATTTAAACCTCTGAGCCTGGCACTGGAGAACCTCCCCTCTAGTGCAGCCTCCCTGCCAAGGAAACACAGAGCACCCGCTTGGTGCCCAAGAGCCCTACCAGTTCCCCTGGGGCAGGAAGTTGTGAGGCACGGTCATCCAGACCTCCAGCCTCCCCTTTTCTTTGGGAGCCTCTGCAGAGGAGAGCCTGTCCTCCCAGAGCAAGCGCTCGGTTCGAGCCGTGTAGGGTGTGCATGCCACGGAGCACCGTCTAAGGGGGCCCCAAGTCCAGTGGCAGAGCTCTGGGGAAGGAGCCCTTGCGAGAAGTCTCCTCCCCCCACCCCAGCACTGCTCAATGCACTTGCCAGCTTAGCTGCTAAAACTGTCCACCTGAGCCTTTATCATCTTCGATGCTGCTTTGCTATTTGTCCTCAGAGAGAGGGAGCAGGCGAGATCCCTTCTCCCCTCCCCTCCAGATGGAGACATCCAGGCTTGTGGAAGAGCAGCACAGCGAGCCGCAGCTTCAGATCAAAAGTGCAGGCAGGCGTCCAAATCTTTAGGGCCTGGCTCTGGGCAACCCTGCCATCCTACGATCAAGGATGCCAATGAAGCAGATTGACTTCCCCTCCCTTCTTGTGCACAATTTACTTGTGTGACGGGACCTGACAGGAAGAGCTGCTTCTCTCTCACCCAAACTCCAAATATTCAGCCGCCCCCCAAGTACCCCCTGCCTTTGATCAAACCCTGCAGCCATCAGAGGGCCCAAAAGCTGCGCTGTGTGGGCCTCGCTAGACCCAGGTCTGCTTTCCATCCTGAAGCAGAAGCGCTCCCTTTATCCAAACGGCCCAGTCAACACCTTCCCTGGTGAGAACCACCCGGAACTTGTTCATTGAAGGGCCAGTATTGGGCTGGGCAGCCCAGGAGGCTGCTGCCTCTCCAGCCAAGGATCCCGAAGTTGCGGGCGTTTGCATCATATCACGGTCTCTGCAAAAGGAACAGTCCTACCGGAATCTTCTTTTGCTCATCAATGAGCCTATTCCTACAAGTAGCTACCGCATTCCCAATTGCAAAGCAAGGATGGGCATCATTTTCTGGATCAAGGGCTGCATCTGCTTCCGAAGGGAAGTGCCAAGGGCAAGCAAGGGGCTGAAATCCATCCATGCTAATTTCTGTAAGGAAGGAGACCCCCCACGCCACTTTCATACCTCTAAAAACCTTCTTCATCGCCTCTATGAGTTGCAAGCAGCAGCAGTATATGCATTTAATAAAATACATTTTTTTAAAATATTAAAACTTCTTCCCTTTTTAAATTGCTCCAATTTGCATGCATCAATGTGATTGTTGCTGGCTGATCAGAGTTGATTAGAATCCACAACTGGAGTTTGGAAGGAAGTCACAGGCCTCGCAGTGAGAATCAGCAAGAGGGAAAATGTTAGAAAATAAGCACACGTTGCGGGGGGGGGGGGGGGGG